TATATAAAGTCACTAATCTTGTGTGCTCCAAAGTATAGTTCAATCCTTGAATGAATTGTATTTCATTTAAATTGCTCAAATTTAAATTTTCTACTGTTCAAACCTAATCATCATTTATCATTGAAACAACCACGTACGATCGATTCATCGTGTCTCCAATGAGAAACACACTCGATTCTTTACAGTACGTCCTCAAGGTTACTATTCAAACGTAGTTTCAGTTGTAGGTCGGCATAGATAAGGAACCGTGATACGGAACTTCTGATGATCGTATCGAGAACATCTGTTTCTTCATATGGAATCGGTGTTTATACACGATCCGCATACACCGATTCTCGTCTATCGGAAGTCTAGGCGTGCGTGATAGATAATGGTTATGCAAGAAGTCGCTTCGAGGCTGTTGGTCCGCGTACTCGTACAGCGATATTACTGCGGCAACGGGAACGCCCTGGCTTTGACGAGATGCCGTGGGCTGTTTCGGACATCCACGAACTTCTTTCTGTATTTATGGTCTAGATAAAGAAAGTTTACGATACCGATAGGGATCGAGAGTGTCGGTGGGGCGAGGTGTAACCCGAGCCAGGAGAGAAGTTCGCGAGAGAGAAGCTTTTGCATGCCGTAGGCACGATGGTTTCTTGTTGCGTTCTCCGCGCGTAATAATACGGCAAGGTCCTTCTTTCTAGGTGCGTCCCGACGGTCTAGCTGCATAATTATTCTCCAGCGACACGCGATGCTGTGGAATATTTTCTGTTAGTTTCTTTATCACCGATTTACCTTTTTTTTTTTAACTTGAGGTTAGACTATTTGAACGGAGAGCGCCCTCCGCCGTGTTCTCGTCTCCGTCGCCGTCCCTGCAAGCGAGAGCCAGCTTACCGGCTGAGTAGGTCATGTGAAGGGGATTTGAAAAAATAAGATAGAGCGGAAAAATTTTCAAAACAACCGCTGCTAGTAATCTGGAATCAGAATGTGACGTTAGAATCATATAACCAAAAGCACAAGGGCGCTTGCACTGTGGTAGGCGAAATGTTCCCCTGCTGAAATGTTCGGCGAAGACCTCAGCCTTGTCTTTATCGGAGAACGCGATGGAACCGTCCTGGAAGATTTGCGAGAATTTTAGGCTCGGAAGGTGGTCCAGAATGTAGGATCAGGTCGTTTGAAGGACTTCAGTGTATTTTCCCATTCGATACTTCGGAGGGCAGAAATGCATTTTTTACTGATGAAAGATCGCGAATGTATTCCTTAATGTGGTCAAGAGGAAAGCGCTGGTTAAGCTTACGGAAATGGCGACGCGCATTAATAAGAGTTTTTAAGGTGGCATCAGTATGTAAGAAGGCATGTCGTCCAGTAGTTGTGTCGTTATGATTAGTGGCGCGATAACGGTAGTCGTGAAGAAAATCGGAGAGATCGTCCACAGCGGTATCAATTTCGGAGATGGAGTTGAATTTGGACTTGAGTTTGAGTCCGTTGGTCTCTGCGAAATAACGATCCCAGTCGACAACGGCCTCAAGCCCAGGAGGACGAGCGGAATCAAGCAATGAAAGGATTACCGGTGCCAAATGGTCAGAAGCAAAACGATCAGTGGTAATACATTCGAAATTACGATGGTAATTAGAGATAAAGAAATCGAGGGTGGATGATCGACGGTTGGGGGTATGACAGGTGAAAGAGTTAGGATGAATTACTCGATAAGAGGAACGTGACATGTGCCCATAAATGACTTTTTCAGCGTGGTTAGTAGTGTAATTGTTCCAGGAGGGATGTCTAGCGTTCCAGTCACCTCCAATAATGAAGGGGGATCCGATATGTTCGAGAGTGTCAAGATCGGAGTTATTGAGTAAGTTAGTGTTGCGAATATAAACAACTCCAACAAGGATTTTGGGGTGAAGGATTTTGGCAAAGCAAGCCTGATATTTGTGCGCTAAAGGATTATCAATGGCAATGAAATTAAGAGAATTGTGTATAAGGAGGACGGTACCCCCAGAAGGGGTAGGAGTGCAGCTATCTTGGCGCAGGACAGTGAAGCCAGGAATTGTGAATGTAGAGGTAGGCGTGAGCCAGGTTTCAGTAATCATGATTATTTGAGCTTGTTGCTCGGAGACAAGCAGGATCAATTCATTGCGACGCAATTGAATGGAACGAATATTCCATAAAAGTATTCGCGGGAAGGCGACTTAGTCGAGGGAATTGACGACAGACCAGAAGGTTTGGAATTTTGCAGCCTTAGTGCGACAGTTTCTAAGTCTATCGATAAGAGTATTAGTGATCTGAAGCGTCTCCTCGAGATCGATCATGGAATTTAGCGTCCTAATTGAGTCAATTAATTCGCTCATGGTGCTTATCCCGTTGTCGGAAATAGCACCGACTTACCTCATTAATTTTAACTTCTTAATCCATGGACGACGGACCATGGAGAGAGCCCTAATTTTAATTTAATTTCTCGTTTCATGTTATCTTCATTTCCTAAATTTTATACTGTTCCTTTAAAAATTATTGCTTTCTGCTATCAAATTTTTAATATACAAATAAAAAGAAGTATTGCATAGAATTTTGTGACAATTGGCTAAATGTACTGAAAATTACTATTTTAGTTCAATATTATTGACTGAGGTATTTCAAAATATCTCGTCATTTTATAAATTTAATTTACGTTTCGTAAAAGCTTTTAACTTTCACGCAATGATGCTTTGTATTTACGAATTTTACGCTGCAAAATGTCGGATCACCGACCACCAGGTAAGCAGATCTGGTTCTCTGCCAATGGTATTTATATTGTTCTAATTTTCACGCAGCTCCTTGCGATTAGATTGAAATCTCAAAACTGTTTTCTCCAGATTTTGGAAAAAAGATTTTGTTGAGCACTCCTATCAATGCTACTCAGCAATATCCTAAATCATAATTCATGATAATCTTCATTACCATGAATCCGCTTATTTCCCCTTTGAGGCTTTCCAGAGTCGAAATTCTGCTTTAAATGGAATTGGGCCCGTGAGAACTTTTGATCAGGAGCTTGAATTTGACCTTTTCCCAAAATTTCATCCAAATCCGTCGAGAGCCAATTTCCATAAGATCGATGCGGGGTTTTTTATAAAATAAATTATTTATATTCAAATATAATATAATATGATATATTATAATACAATACACAATATAATGTATTATTTATTATATTTTTTCACACATTTATATTTCATTTTTTTTCTTTCTTTCTTTTAATTTTGAATCTTAATTGAAAAATCGATGAATTCGATGTATCAGTGCATGATCGGTTTGGGCAAGCGAGTCATGGTGGTCATCTATCACGCTCCATTTCTTGACCAATTGCTTTCGATGATCGGCTATGGCCAGCTCGGCGCCAAAAATAATTGCCAGAGCTCTGCGATTGCAAGGCAGAAGGCGAAACGAGGGCGTTTCTTCCTCTTCGTCTTCGTGTGTACGTTTCTGCGTTGCTTTCCTGCTGAGGCTCTTTTTATTTTTCATTCTTTCGTTGCTTCACGTTCGAGTGCACATGGATCGGTGCAACAATGGGCCTCAGGGAAAGGTAAGAACGATCAACAGATTATGACGTGGGCAAAAAGATTTTTAAAAGAACGTGCTTATTTATTTGATTCACTTCAGCGATTCGTTATTAAATTCTAATTTTATAATCCACATTATGGTACAATATTTCTTAAAAATTCACTTTTCTTAATTATATATTTATTTTTCTTAATTAATATGTTTGAAACATTTCATGAAACATTTTACGTATTTAAATATCATTGCGTAGATCGAGATGACCATCCGTTTTCCTGTACTCCCTCTTTCTATTAGAATTGTGGCTTTGAGCCAACCTTGTGATCCATGCTCAAATTTCCCTCCATGTCATTAACGCAAGTTCATTTTTATCACCTTGTTTACGAACAAGTTATAATTAGTAACAACGAGCAATTAATACCTACCTGTGATTAAGCATCTATACATCAGGTAGTAATAAATAAAAAACAAAGGAAGATCTTCGAACATTATATAGTCCCTATAATATAGCCTTATGAGCCTTAAATCATAAAAAAAAATATAGGTATAAAACTTACGGTTTCAATGGCACGTGATAATCACGATTTAAAGATCGTGACGATAAGTTCCGAGAATTTTTCGATCGATCCCCTCTGATCAAGCGATTTACCGGTGTTTCTGAATGGCGAAGGAGGATCTATAAATCTGGCTTATGGAATTTAAAAGCATATAAATAGAACGGTCGAGCGTTATTTTCATTCAAGGATGCTGCGACGTAGGATTACACGTCACGGTGTGTGACCGTCGATCCACGTAATTTGAAGCTATTACAACAACAATATTGTAATGGTAGTTGGAAGTTTAACCGTAGGGGATAATAATATGATTGTGCGCCTAATACATGGCGCGAGTAACTCCGTGCCTTGCAAAGTGTAAGGGCAACGAAGAAGAAGGCGATGTTCGATAGAATTACGGCCGCTTTTCCTCGCACGTTCGCGCGGCTGATCCGATGATAAATGAAGTCACCGGATGATTTTTTTTTCTGCACACGCGTGGCGGTCGACGTCGACATCACCGGTAAACAGGACAGACGTTCGTTTAGATTTATGCGAGTCGTTGCATCTTGCAGCTGTTTCTTCGCGGTTATTTTTTTCGCCGGGATTGAATTAAGTTCAATCGATTTCTTTCTTTGTCTTCTCGGCTTCATGGAAGCCATTTAACACTTGAATGCCGCGGGACACATTAATCACCGCCATTACAAATTTATTGTAATTATAATTTCATAATTGAAAGATATTTCATTTCTTGAAGAAATTAAAGGTTTATTAAGATTTAACAAAGTCTCAAATCTGAAATTTTATTAAAGAGAAAAGGCTAAATGATGTTAGGTCAGGATGAAAATAAAATCGTTTAAGAGATCGTCTGGGGGTGAAGTGCATTCTCTTTTGCATAAAACAGAACCATCCATTCTGTCAATAGAAATAAAAGACTATTTTTGGAATTTGCAGGCAAACACCGAGAGTCGGGAGTCGGAAGAACAGGGTAGCAGCACGACCTCGCCCTCGGAGGGCAGGCACGCCAACGGGACATCCGGCTCGTCCGTCCTCGTGATGGGCAGCACGGACTCGGCGGGCAGCGCCCACAGCGGCGGCCCTTCCTGTGGCCTGGTCAGCTCCCTCTTCCCGAGCAGTTGCCGTGGACGCGCGGAAGCCTTCGCCAGACGTCTTCATCGACGATTGACGTCTCTCGGCAGTGAGGATGCTTCCCAGCGAAACAAAGATCCCACCAACCCAAAGGAGACCTCCTGGTTACGCTCTTCCTCGACAACAAAGTCGATGGTGAACAATGCTTCGACCAATCACGTCCTACAACACCAGCCGCGTCACAATCCTGACACAGAGCTGTGTTACGACTTCGATCTATCCGATCTGTGTCAGGATTTCGAAGATGGCCTCAGTTCGCCCGCCGAAGAGGCGACGGCAGCGGAGATGGCGGACCTGGTCGTTAATCCCGAAGCATTGAAAAATCATCGCGATCTACGTCACGGTTCGCCAAACGACTCGAAAACTATGTACTCCAGCTTGGATTCCGAGTCTGGCTACGTGTACGCGTCACCTCTGATGGAAAGATCCCCGGACAGTGACTCGTCGGATATATACTTCGATCCAGAGTCATCGGACGTGGAGAAAGCGAAGAACGAGGTGTACTTTGACCCCGTAACCACGTCCGACAGCGAAATGACTACCTCGAATCTTTCCAACGGCTGCGAGCCGACGAAGATGAAGAACGTGTCGTATCGCTGGAGGCCAGAGACGAAGATGGAACAGTCGGAGGACACGTCGGAATCCACTTCCTCGATGCCAAGGAACAGTTTCAGCAACGAGGAATCGCAGAACAACGAACTGATGTGTAATTCGAAGGACTCGAACGAGAGGAGCTCTTTGGAGACCACCTCGCTCAGTCACGAATCTCTTTGGAGTACCTTCGACGAAAGCACAATGTCTCTTCAGGACGAAAGTCCCTCCAGAATCAGTTCCGGGCTAACCGCCTTTCCGAATCGGCTTCCCAAGTCACATTCCGATTCTGAGATTCCTACCCACGGACCTAGGCTAGTGATTTCTTGCGAATGGGACAAGGTCGATCAAGGTGTCGACGAGGTTGATTTCGTGAACGGGCTGTCAGAAAATGGCAAGTTGGAGGATATGAAGAACGTAAGGAACCTGGAAATGAAAGAAGAATCCACGGATTCCTCGGAGAACACCACCGAAGAAGAACTTCCTTATGACGAGGAGAAACCCAGCGTCTCGGTGGTGCAGCAGAACAACCTTAGTTTGAAAGTGGAAGAAAACGCTGTCGAGACGGGGATTGGTTCGACGTATAGCAGTATGATCAATATTCCTGGTGCTCTAACTCTGGAGTATCCCACGGGAGAAAGAGTGATAGAGGCAACGGTGAAGAACGAGGTACAGTTACAAATCGAGAACGGTTCTGTGGCGAACAGCAGCGACGAGGACAAAATGTGTCTGCTGTTGAAGAAGCTGACGACCGACTCAACGGCAAAGGATGACGTCCAGGAAGCTACTCAAGAACCTCAAGGAAACATCGAGGAAGAGGAGGAAGGGGAGGAAGAGGAAGAGGTGAGACCGCAGAAGATCAGACGGTCTTCGTCCCTAAAAACAGGAAAGACACCGCCTGGAACACCTGGAAGAAAGAAGATCGTCAGATTCGCGGATGTCCTTGGTCTGGATCTGGCTGACGTGCGAACCTTCCTCGACGAGATCCCGAAGATTCCCAACTCAGCCTACAGTGACCTGATCTACGACGACATCTTCCAGAAGGACAGCAGTCCAGTGACTAGCATACCAAACATTTGGGGAGACAGGTACACCGAGAGCAGACGAGATTCCAGCTACTCGCTGCCGCCTCGCAAAATGGACAGAACTCTGATGCCTTTGTTCCAGCAACCTGCCGGTTTGCCTAACTTTTTGGAGACAGTCCGGGAGCGTCGGGTATGCCTGGAGAACGTGCTCGTCCAAGATCCTATCTCCATGTGCATCCAGGGCACAGTGCGCGTGATCAATTTGGACTTTCACAAATCGGTGCACATCAGATACACGTTGAACTCTTGGAGGAATTTCAGCGATCTACAAGCGATATACGTGCCGAACTCGTGCGACGGTTTCAGCGACAAATTCTCGTTCGTCCTGTATTGTCACACGCTGCCGGTCGGTCAGAGACTGGAGTTTGCGGTACGGTTCCAATGTAAAGGTGAACAGTACTGGGATAACAATGCCGGGGCCAATTACTGCTTCCAATGTTTGCCAACCTCCTCTGCTATCGATTACATACCGATCACCGCGCAAGAGAATCAACACCACGAATGGTCACCGATGTTCTACTGATGGACGTGCAGGTCGTTGATGTTTGCGCGGGCTGCTATGTTTCGCGGAGGCGAAGCGGTCTAAAGTGAAGCCGAATATGGCTAACAAGCGACAGAGAGAGAGAGAGAGCCTACGGATGAATAAACGTTCCTAAAGTGTACCCTACTGTTGTACATAACTGTTCTGAAGGAGCCGATGGAGGAACGGGAGGTGGAATCGGAAAGCAGGGATAGCACTGGCGTCAATTATTCTTTCCTGCCATTTCCCGACCAGCCTTTAAGTGGACTGGAAGAACTTGACGCACCTGTTAGACTGACATTTTTTTTACACGTTTGTTGTTCCTTGTTTGCGCTCAAATATACAGGATGTCCTAAAAAGATCCTAGAATTCATGAGTCCTTCGTGGCAAAGCGAATCGAAATATCCTTTAACAATTTGCAGTCTGTATTTTCAAGGTAAAAATAATAGAAAATTTGCTGCTCCAGAACACAGAGTACTGCCAGATAGGAAGAAATCAATTCTCAAAGCACAACAAATTTTTATTGTTCAATAGTGCCTGTTATTCTATGTGCGTATAAACGAAGCCACAGACTGTAAAATGATAAAGGATATTTTTTAATTTGCTTTTCTCAACTGAGGTTGTTTTTGGGACATTCTGTGGGTTATTAATAAACGCCTCGATGCATGAGCGGCAGACAGCTGGCTGAGGAGTAAGACGCTTCTGATATGCTTGTTCTTCGAGATGAAAATGAAGTCTGGTATTTGAAGTGTCTTTGAAGAACCGAAGAAAGATTGAACAGGAATCGTTCTAAGAAGAGCATGGAGATTATTTTCACGTTCCTAGAAAGTACCTAATTGTACAGACTTCGCGACGCACCTGAGCCTAATACGTCTGTAAGACTTACCAATGATGGTACAAGGTCTTGAGACGGAAGTCGAGGAACTCTGTCGTTTCGACAGGGTTGTAATTATGAAAAATTTCTATTTTATGGATTGAAATGTTTGTTAAGACGCTTTTAGGATGGTACTGCTTTTCGAGGAGGCAAAATTGAAGGCTCACTTTATTTTATCTTTCTTCTTAATTTTAACGATATTTTATTTTTAATTTTAACGATATCTTGTACAAATACTCCTGAAATAACTCGATAAGGTTGAAAACATATCTTTTTAGCAAGCGTAACCACGACCAATTTGATCTTCTTTACAAAAGCCATATTTTTTTAGAATCTACTTTTATTTATAGACATTTAGTTTCGAAGTTTCTTCTTCATCAATCAAAACGTTCAATTTGTGCCAATTTGATTCAGTGCCATTATACGAATTCATCGAGAAAAATATTCTTATGAACAGTGGTGTAATTAGGCAGGGGTCAAGATGGACCTGGGCCCCATAGAAATGTGGATTGTTCCTTCCCAAAAAATTGTAAGATACTAAAATTCCAGAATTCTAAAATTTCACGATATATGAATACCCGAATTTCAGAGTTTCAATTCCCAAAATTAAAAAATTTTAGATTTTCAGAATTCCAGAGTTGCAAAATTTCAAAAATCTTAAGGAACCAGGCCCAGCCTAGAAGAAGGTCCAATTTACGTCATTGCTTCTGAATCACTTCGAAACACATACTATATCATATACAGAGTTTTAAATGTGATAATTTATAATCATGAGATATCGTACTGCCCTTCGGTGTGTTTTATGCTTTTATTATATTATTTCAAAAATTCTAATTCTTTATCAGAGATTCAGCAATTTTATTCGCGTATGAAACTACATATATACTCGATGTACAAAACGTTGGGGCACCAAAAATGCGACGAAATTTTCCTGCAAGAGTAATGTAATAATAGTCCTTTAGATTTAAATGATTTTACACTCGTGTACATAGAATCTGTTTTTCTTTTTTTTTTTTTTTATTTCGACGTTAACTAGCTTTATAAGATAATTGATTTGATTAAAAGGTTTATTGTTTTTGTTGATTATAAAAAGATAATGAAATACACGAAGGTACATTTTCGTTTTTTAATTTCATTCGAAGAACTGTATGCACGTTTCGTTCATTTTTGTGCAACCACATCATCAATGGTTTGAGTGAGTAACGATCGAACTATTTACAATGAAGTGTGCGAAGTAGAACGATGAGAACAAGACATTAATGTTTTGACACCTATTCGTGTATAAAGACTGTGAGTGAAAAACAGCAACTTTCTCTCGTCGTCGTATATGTTAAATGTACAGTGCCGGATTAACGGGAAATCTAAGGGTTGTTGGGGGGCGGGGCTATAGCTCCGGGTTCCACTTCACAAGGGCTTCGTCATGATTCATTTAATTTGTTAAAAAATATTGAATGCAATGTTTTTTTTATTGCGCTGCTGTTTTTCTTTACAATTAAATGTTACTTAATTTTATTTAAAATAAATTTTAATTTTTGAACCAAATTTATCAACAAAGGAGGGCCCTCGAAAGTTTGATAGCCCCGGGCCCAAGAAACCTTAATCCGATCCTGGATATATAAAAATACGACATGATCATTTGTCGAACGACAGACCACGTTAACGACCGACCAAACGAAGAATCGTTCAATTACGTCGTAGTACTCGAAATCACAAGATACTGATAAATATTTCATCCCAGAATTATTTTGATAACGTTAAGCGTTGTTTTCTTAACCCTGATTACCAGCTGGACCAAGCGGAGTCAGCAACGCTGATAATTGCAATATAATACAGAAACGAACGAGGATATTAAAGATTATTAATATATTGTTAAAGCGACGTTTATAGATATATCCAGATATTTTGTAACAGTTTTGAAGTACAGAGATGTGTATATGCTATTCGTAAATTGTATATAAGCGGCGTCAGTATTGGTGTCTCGATGACGAGTCATTTTTATTCATTCTTCGAGCTGTTCGAAGATTCTTAATTAAATGTACATATTTATATATTTTATCACGGTGTTTGCATGGTAATCATGTCTGTAGCTTCCTATATTTTCTTTTTTTATTTTTGGTCGCTATTATGACCTCTTTTATAATTTTATATACTACTGTTTTAACACGTTCGCTGTCGGCGGCTCCTATCGGAGTCAATCGGCAGTGTTCGGCAGTGCTCGACAGTGTTCGGCAGCATTCGACAGTGTTCGACATCCGTCGTCATCACACGCCGACAACGAACGTGTTAACCGTCTTGTTTTATTTTATAGTGTTTTAATTTTTATTCTGGGGCAAACTACTATCGTTATTTTTCAATGTATTAATAACATTAAATACAGTAGATAATATAGTCACGATGAAATATAATTTTTAAAAGGATCCCTTTGTTAAAGAAGGTATTCTTTAATTTAGACGCATTATAACCACCATTATTGAGGCCCCCGATATTTACACACATATTTACTCGATACACAATGAAAGCCTTTTCTAGTTATTCTATGTAACATATTACGTATCGAAATGATGTCGACTTCTATTCTGGTTAACGAGAGAAACGATATTCTTTCACGCGTTTAGAGCAATGACGTTATTAAGATTTATGAACACGGTTATATCACTGGCAACACAAATTAAAATATTTTAATTGTTACGAAAGCTCGAACCTGTTGTTGAATATACGAGATGTTTCATTAATTCTTTTTAACAAAATCTCCACTGCATGAATCTTTTATATTATGAGGGGAATCTGATTTTGCTCTTAATAATGTAATTTTGAGGCTTATTTTAAATTGTAAATAAAGAAATATTTTTTTCCATGTTTTAATTAATGTAGATAATTATTTATATAGAATATTTCATATATAAAAAATTATAGTAAAATTGGGAAATCAAGAAAAATTTTATAAATAATTTTATTTTTTGTAATCCTCTTAAACATGGTTTAATTTGAATTTTATTTCAGACCCATTTACGCCCAGAAATTTTAAGAGATACAAATTGTTCTTAAAATAAAGTAGATATTTAAATAAAAAAATAACATGTAGGAAGATACGAACTGAATATTAGAATTGAGATTTAATAATAACATTATTCGAGGTTTTTAAATTATACTTTTATTTATATTCTGTAGAGCACAAAATTCCATCTCTTCTTCGTATAAAAGATTTCATATAAGAATTTTGCGACAGAATTACTGAAACGTTCTCCATAAATGCAATTTCTACGTGCGAAAAATTCGTATAACAAAAGCAATTTATATTATTAATCATTGTTAATTCATAAATCGTACATTACACATTATAAAAGTGTCATCAAACAAGACAAAATTCTGTTACCCATTAAATCATAAATTCTATTTCAAAAATTCTATCAGATGTACAAATTAATTCGATGCCTTCTCTCAAATGAAAAAATTATTTTTAAAAGGTCATCTTAACTTATTCTCTTACGACACTTTCAAATTAGCAAAATATACAGAAAAATAAAAAATTTAAATTTACAATAATAATTCAGAAAGCGTAATGTTAATGACACCGAATTAATTTGTACAACATTGAGCAAAGTTGACCTCTCTAGAGAAAATGGCGATATTAGCAAACATTAGAATATTAGAAGTGATTTAGAAATAAAATAATATAATTTTTAATTGTTATTAAATATTATAAAGATTAATACAGAATTAAGTAATATAAGTAATACAATAAATATCCATTCAAATTATCCCGCGTAAACGTTTATACGCAAATGGTGGGGGCCATAGGCCTGTATACATGCGATCTCTCCTATATCGTCAGTTTCCTCCGGAACGCCAGAGGGGTAGGGTGGGAGCCCGCCAAAAGAGAAACCCACGCGGAATGGTGGGAATTTGGGGATGCGGAAAGTGGGGGAAACCTACGAGTGGAGGGGGAGCCTCCGAATTCGCCATTTTCTGTGGGGACGCCCATTATGCTCGGTGTTGTACACCTAATATTGCAGTGACTACTTTGGATGTCACATTATAACGAGAGATGATACACTAACCATGAGCTACACTGTGAGCGAACTATTTTTGTTAATGTTTCAAAAGTTATTGTCGTCACCGCGTGCGTAAGATTCTCCCAAGGGTAGTGGGACGGAATTTCACGTAAAACGTATAATTTCGTGGCGGGAAATTGATTTTCATGGCAGCTACGACATTCGAGGGAATCTTACGTCATCGAGGAACTGAAACATTGTGTCACGTTGGTCTCGAACGTAGAAACAATTTGACATCGTGCCATTTTTCTTGGCTCGACTCGTCATTAAACAGCACCAGTGCGTAGGCTTTTTAGATATTTATTTTTATACCGATCGAAAAATTCTTTTTTTAAACGCAAGCCAGACAGAGCGATACGATATCAGTTTCATTATAAAGAGTAGCGAAAGTAATAAATAGATAAAAATAAAAATGGTAAAATACTGCTACGTATACATTAAACTGTTAATTCCCAAAGGATTAAATTATATTATTTTCAAGATAGTACGTTTTATTTTAATTTTTAAATTAAAAATCTTTTTAAATAAACTGTTTCTACGTTCGTGGTCACGAAGGAAAATGATAATTGTATCGAATAGTATAATTTTATATATAATGTACACGTAAGCATATGTTGCACCTCTAATCCATAGAGCCGTGAGCTTTCGTCCAATTACCGAGCCTTTTGCAGTTTCTAAAAAAAAAAAAGTTAACGAACGAATTGAAATCTATATTGTTAAAGTGTTAAAAAACGCGAAAGACTGCATGCGTGTATGTGTTTATTTGATTTGTGTGAATGAAATTACGAGAGCGAACGAATGAAAGAGCCTGGAGATACGTATCGATAAATCTCTTTGTCCAATCTATAAGAATTACTTTTATTTTATATTCTTTGTTCCTTTCCTTTTCTGTCGGGAGAAAAGGAAAAATTTGCTTGTTTTTTTTCTTTTTTGTTTTTTGTTTAATTTCGGCTGTGAAACGAATAGATAACAATTAGCAATGGGCAGCCTTCGAAGTAGAAATTATCTTTGTAAATTAACATCGTTGTTTGGTGTTGTCTGTTTATTTCCTTTATTTTCTTATCAATTTTTTTTTTCGAATCAATCCACCAGTTTAATAAGTATTTTCAATTAATAATCTCAATATAAGTCAATATATACGTTTCGACAAAAGATTTAATAAAATTAGTTTTAATATTTAATAAATATATTTGTATAAATAAATTATGGCATGGGATTACTAAATTCGACATTTTACCAAATTTCGGTGTATCTAGGTAACTAATGTAAAATAAATCATTTTTATTATTTCTTTTAAAATCATCACTACGAAAAGAGCATACTTATCAGTTTGGTTTTTTTTATATTTTTTTTTTTTTAATATAAAATGAGAAATCTGAAATGGTTGTTCTAATGTTAATCCTATTTCTAGTAATTGCAAGCTCGTCCATATTCCTTTTTTAAAAATTCATGTCAATCATTTAAATCATTGTCCTTTCTTTTCTGTTTCTTCGTTTTTATTTTTTTTTTTTTTTTCATAATTTCATTGAAGTAAAAAGTTTAAACTGAATTATCTGCAGAAGGTTGTTTTACCTAATGACTTTTTACATTTTAATTAGCTACCGTTTATTGAGGGAGCTCGAAAGCGCGGATCTATGGTTTCACGTTAAATCGAAGACAAGACTGAGCGAGAAAATCTTGATAGAAACTTGTACTTTGTTTTCCTACGCATAGATCGAGTGATTTTCCTAATCTTCTAAATTAGAGGTGCGCGAGAATTTAAAAATTATATCATTTTGTTATAAAAGATGTAGTGTGATTTATATAATTACCTAACTAAAATTATTTAAATATGTAATTTTGGATTGATCCTTGATGTTCCGTCGTATGGAAATTGAAATCGTATGCAAAAGATGGAATATGGAATATGAATTGGGTTGTAAAAAATATTATTCAGTACCTTAGATGAGATATTTAACAACTAATATTTAACCCTCGAATCCTTTCTGATCTATGATTAATAATTCAAATTTAATTTTCAATTTTACTGTGTTCTTATTTTCTAAACTTTCTATTATTTTTTTAAATGTTGTATTTGGAAATTTTTATTTCCAATTTTAATTGATGCACCTTTGTATTACACTTCACAATTGGGCCACTTACTGTCATTCGAGGGTTAATAAAATAAATGATAAAGAGTTTCTTTCCAAAAACTTTTTTATTATTCAATAGAATTTACATTCAAAAAACCTCTCTGATGTGTTACACTTTGTTCGACAATAAATGAGAAGGTGATTTAAAATTTGCAAAACTGAGCAATCAGTATTGCACAGAAAGTATCACTGATACAAGATAATCGCTGTACTCCGTACTTTCGATCATTCGAAGGCCACTATGAAATAATTACGCTCGTAAAAGCACGTCTTTTATTTGACAGACTTCTTCGCGAGTGTAAAAATAGCTGGTGTCTTTCGATACAGTCATACATCTACGATATATATATATATATATATTTTTTTTTTTGCTTATGAATCACACGTTTCGGATATTTGCAACAGGTCAGTGATGTTGTTTATCAGATATATCGTTTAATCAAGAATTCTCCGCGGCAATTATGTATAGTATCGAGCAAAGTAGGCTTCCCTGAGATAGATGGCGTTACAGGGGAAGAAGGAATTCTTAAAATTTTAATTTTGACAATATTAATATTAATAAAAATGATTTAGAATGAAAATAATATCATTTTTAATTAATAAACATTATAAAATTTAGTATATAATTAAGAAAAATGTATCATGAAACAAATATCAATTCAAATTCTCCCGCGCAAAATGTTCCTAGGCAAGTGGTGAGGGCATAGACTTGTATATATATGGGGTCTCTTCCCGTGCATCGTCATTCTCCTCGGGATCGCCGACGGGAAAGGACGAGAGCCCGGGGAAAGACCGGGAATTCGCGAATGTGAGAAGTTAGCGAAATTTATGAGTAAAACAGGGAACTTGTGGGGGTGGAGGAGCCACCGTTTTACTTTGCTCGGTACTGGACATATTTATTCTATAAATTTGTTATGTATAGTGGATTTTGGATACCATAATGCAATAACACTATTCTCAATATGATTTTATGTAATATTTTATGATTTTTATACAGTGAATATAATTATTTTACTGCTCGATGTTTTGCCACAGAAAATTATTGTATAATTTGATGAAAATAATTTGTTAACTAAACTTTTCATAAATCAATTCTTGCAATTAACTTAATTTATTTTTAACAAACTTAAGTTAAACAGGGTAACACAATTTTTTTAATTTTATTTTTATTGAAAATCACTTTGTTTAAATCTTAAACTATATTTTTTCTATCTCTTCTACTCTGATTATCTGTTCAATACGGAGTTAATGGAAATTGATTTCTGAAAAGTTCCTGAAAATTTTCTTAAACCTAAGCAATGTTGCTTCAGACTGAAATAACGCTCAGACTACTGTGTACTTTATTAGTAAAAAAGGAAACGAGAAGAACCTGTTATTAATAACAAATTGTCTATGTAATATGTAATTGTCTTGTAGCATAGAGTTCTATGGATCACTTCCCTTTTCTCTTCCTTCCAGTCCCCGTTAATTGTAAATCGTTAATGAGAATTTATTTTTAATCAAATCTGTTTGTTTGGATGTTTCTTTATAGTTAGGTATGATTTCGTGCTTATTGTTAGACGATCGAGTACGGCGTGGGTGACAACGTTTGAAGATTCTGAGAGAAATGAAGTTGCAACAAAATGAATGATGATGGAGGAATGAAGTATCTATACGTATGAATAAACGTATATAATATATCTGTAACACACGTTCTATATGTTAAGACAATAAATGGAAGACCGATCGATAGTTTCTTTCTCTGACCTTATTTATATAGCAAGGTAGATTTAGTCGAAAATGTGATAAATGGTTCACCAAAGTGTAACAATATTATGAAAGATACATTTTGGCGGTATTAATAATTATATTTATAAATTTATAACATCTATTAATTATTAAATTAAAAATCATTGCAATTATCATCTTCCTTATGTAACTAATGTATGTAAGAAAATTTTATTGTATGTTTTCAATTAATTTTTTCCAGAGGAAATAATCCCTAACAATTGTATCATAATTACTGTAACACCCTGTATACATATTTTCTATTTTAGGCGTTCCTTTCAGGAAACATTGAAAGTTATTATATACAGCCTATATAACAAATTAAATCGCTCGAAATCGTGGAATAGAAAGAAATAAAATACAGTTCGAAATGGCAGCTGTTTATTATAAAAACAGAGGAAAAAAGTGAACACTAGAAGACAGTTTAAGTCAACATTAAAAGTCAAATGATCTGATAAGCAGTACCCTACTGTTACCCTGTGTGTTTCTGTTACAACAATTAAGTACCCATTGGTAAAAATAATGTCTGGTCGCTCAGATCAGTCTTCACAATGTTCTTCACTTATTACAAAATAGAAACAATCGAGAAGCGATATATTCATTGGCATAACTAAGAAAGGGCCAAGGTGGACCTGGCCCCCCTAAAAGTCCCTTGTAAAATTAAAAAATTTCGAAATTTCAGAATTTTTAAACTTCAGAATTCCAAAGTTTCAGTTCGAAAAATTAAAAAATTAATGTTCTGAATTCCAAATTCTAAAAATTGAAAAATTTCTAAGGGATCTGGCTCGTTCCAGAAGAAGCTCCAAGTTACGCCAATGGATACAGAAACACTTCGCGTGTTTTACAAGTAGGGTGACTTTACATTATCATAAATAAATATTCTTAACGCTTCTTGTCGTGAATATTCGCTGATCTAACGATTTTAGCGATCGTGTCACCGTTTCTTTAAATTACATGTAATAAGAATAAGGAAAACAATCACAAAATAAAACAGGCACTAGATTCAAGTGTCCCATTCAAATACAAAGCACTCACTCGCGTGGATCACAAAAGGTATAGTTTATTATAACATTTGTTCTTTTCTTTAAATAAATTCATGGAACACAACAATCTGTTCCAACGTTATCAAACAATTTTCTCTTAAAAACAATGGCTGTCTGTAACATTTTTTCTTCATTATTATTGCTTTCTTGTGTAAGGGTCTCCTTTAACCATTCCCTCTACCCACGTTCCTTCGTTGCTTTAGTTTCAAACGTTTTCGAATTCTTTCAGCGGTTGAAAGTACCATTCGTCACTTTCGACGATGAAAAGGCGCAATTACAAACTGTTGGAACCCGATAATGGCGTCTTCTTCGTCAACTTCAAGGCTCTTAATTGCATGTGCAAACGCTGCTTGCAGAACTGATAGAATTCGATTTCTCGGGTGAAGTTGCTTCGTACCATGTCTTTCACTTCTTCGCTGACCGGGGGCTTGAAGAAGTTCCGGTTAATTCTAGTGAACGCGTTCACTTCATCTGAAAATGAAACATTATTTCACTAACGATCTCGATAATGAATCAAGGATCTACAAGAGTACCTCTAGTGGAATAGAAGCAAAAGACACCAATAAAGTAATTCACGTTTTTCGAATACAATATTGAGAAAAATCCATAATAATTTTTTAGGGAAAAATTGTAAAAATTTGGTCATTTTAGCCGTAAGAAGTTCCCAAGATCAATTCGAACTTGGGCCATCGCTGTTGACCCTCGAAGGCTGATTTTTCTTCTATTATGAGGTGTTTTGTATGGAAAGCATTTGTTATCCCGATTACAGCTTAGGACGAGGAAGGGTCAGATGAAAAAATACAAAAGAATTTACCATAGTAGACGTCGGTGGCCCCTTGGAAAAATCCGGGTATGTAATTTTCCAATACCGTGAGAGTGGCATTCACGTCCTCCAGTACACCAACAACAGCATAGTGTTTCTCCACTGCCATTTTCGCTCGTTCTAAGGCCCCCACAGTGTTGAACGGCCTTTCAGGAAATAACAGTTAATATAAGTATCATAGCCATTTGAATTGCTCGCTGATGGAGAGGTAAAGAAATAAAAGAGGTAACGATATAATAAAATGTAAACAACGCATTTAGATGATGGATTATTGAACTTCCTGGTAATTTTCAGTAGCACATGGAAAGATGAACATTTTTCTACACATAGTTGAACCTTTGCGTTTGTATTTAACCCTTTTGATCCTGATGGAGCAATATAATAACGATAATATTTTTTGTACAAATGGTTCTTTTTAATGTATGAACAAAAAATTAATTGTTTAACCATTGCAAAGTGTAGTACGCAAAGGAGATTTTTTAATTAAAAATTTTGAAATTGCAGAAAACATATAGGAAACTGAAGTTCAAAGTAACTTACGTGCACTTCTCACTGTGACCACAGAAGAAGAGCGTCTGTCTGCGATGATCTCCGATCCCTTCGTGAATTTCGCCCTCCAGGTATCTACATTCACGGTCCGCCTTAAGTACACAGGATTCGAAGTCTTTTTTTAACCAATTGGGATCTGGCAAGGGTAGGTCTGGAAATATTTGCTTTCGCTCGACGTAATACCAAGGTGCTCGTACGTAATAGTACCAGGATATCACTCTCTCAACAGGGTCCCGGACTATGTTGATGTAAATTGGTTGAGGCAGGTTGAACCTGAGGAGAAAATCATTGAGCATTCAACAGACGGATTGGAAATCGAAGAAGTTCTTGGTAAGTTGTCTCGTTCTATTTTTAAGTTCCTTTCTACCTTTGTAACAAATCACGGTTCTTCATTATATTTCATATTGTTGTTCCGTTTTATGCATTTACATTAAACTCTCGTTATATTGCCGCGGTGGAGGCTGCAGCTGGTCGTAGGGGAAAATATCAAGCTTCCAAATTTTCAGTTAAAAGGGAAAAAAAGAAAAATGTATCATTTTCGTAGGTTGTGATGAAGAAAAAATGGCATTAATACCTATCCTTGAAAATCGCTCAAGAACCAATATAACGAGAGTCTACTGTATAATTTTATTTTCATAGTTATTAGGGAAAATAGACCGAAACTGTAGAAAAATGTTTATTTATTAAATTTTATTTAATTTAATACTTACTCGGTGAAATTAGTGAAACACACATGTTTTATGTATACTGATGGTTCTGCATAACCGCTGACCATCCTGGCAAGTTGAAGCTAAAAGTGAAGACAATATTAAGTGGTAATGTTACAATTGATTTGTTAGAATATTCAATTATTTTGCTTTTAACACCTGTTCAATGGGTGCAAGACGTATGGTTTCGACTCTCTGCACACGATCTCTGTTAAATGAAAATCCATTCCTCATTGACAACCTCCTCAATAGTTCCATAAAAGTTTGAGAACCCACTTTCGGTACTCGGTTGAAAAAGAGAACCTTTCTGCCAGCTCGTTTTGTGTTATTCAGGGCATCTATGTCCAGAACTTCTAGTTCTTTATACTAAAATCAAATAAATAATATTCGAAAATTTTATAAATTATATAAACCAAGATTATATTTCATTTTTACACTGCCACACACCCTGTTGTCCTAATTTAATTTTTCTTCTGCAACAATGTTCAATGAAAAGTATCATTTCTATTTTCAGTTCCCTCTACATTTCCCTCTACACTCGCATATGAATTATCATAACCGTAATTATGTTATCTTCTAATCTTTTTGGTCTAATTAGTTCAACATGCTTCGGTTGAGAATAATTCAAGAGATGCTTCCGCAAGGTTGTTGCAGATATGGAATTTAACCTCGTATGAAATCTTCGACTACCGTTCGATTTCTTACTACCCTGAAATCACGTACCTGCTGCACGATTTCTTTAATGGAACGATAATTGCAGCTTCTCGGATTTGTTCACTACTGTAGTTTAGTTTGTAGGAAGAGATAGAAACATTAAAAATTCACCTTGGTTGCAAAGTTCCATGAACAATTCCAAGTGAATTTATATCTACTAAAAAATTTTCCAAAATTAAGCCATAATTAAACCACCGTAGTAATTAACGTGTTAATAAGTGTAACATTTATTTTAATTACATTTAAGAATTAGGTAATTTTTATCGCACAGTGTGTATTGGATCTACGAGAATTAGCCTCATCTTTTTCTCCCTGCCCACGTCCCAAGGCTTAGCATTACGCTGCAAGTATCTTACGTGATTACATTATTACTACACGGGTTTGCACGCTTCCTCCTTGATTACGGATCCTCTAACCTTCTTCCTACCGTCTTTCTTCCTTGAATTCTCCACCAATTTATGGTCAATCCTTCTGCCCGCGGTATTAAAGGATCGTGACGTAATTTGCTTCGCGGTTATTCGTGTAATACCAAACATTACGAGGTAAGTTTTACAACTGTTTATCCACTGTTTCCTAATAGCTGTGTGCAAACTATATTAGGGCTAATTTTAATTCTCGTTTTAGTTTATTTTAAAATACCACTAGCATTTCTGGAAAATTCAACAATGTCATTGCCACCGATCGACTCGGTTAGCGGACGATTATGTCATAAATTCAGAGTAACCTTCATGGTTGAGATCTTTACGCGATGAATGGTTAGACCGAAAGGTAGCAATCTATTTCGCGGTTTCACGCATCGTAGTCACAGTAATGTTACTTCGCGTTACCTTTCCCTTCTTGTCTGTTTGCATATTTCTATTTCAACCTGCTTTGTACAAAATTGAACCTCTATATCCTAAACTACCCTTAAGAGGTGCAATCAAAATTACCACAATATTTATAAAATAAAATTTTTCTAAAAATTTGTAGTTTAAATGATTTACTAATTGGAATTAAGTATACATTTTATTAATTTTTATTTTCTTACAAACTACAACTTATAGGAAAATTGTAAATGTGAATACAGAAAAAAAATATAATTTCATTTTTCAAGTATATCAACGCACTTGTAAGAATTTATATTTAGTTGAAAACCAAATGAGGAGAAGAAATTCGTAAAAATATATGGATACAGTTTAATCTTGAACCAGAATCTTGATTGTGCAGGTTTTAGATCGAGTTACAGTGTATATAAGTACGCGATCTTGATACGAAACGCATACAGAGTTGGTTCCCAAGAAAATCAAGACCACTCCTGGTCGCAGCTGAGCACTGTTAGCAACAGAGAATAAGCTTCCCGAACCAAGCTTCAGCCATCTGTCTCCTTGACTGATCGGTCAACGTTCTCTTTGGTCATTCTTACTACAGTAGAATCTCGATAGTTGCAAACGAACCTCGTCTGTTGCATTCCGTCATCGCATGGTTGACATGATAGGAGAAGCTAGTCGAATTGTGGTGTAAATTTTATTGTATATGTTTGTAAATAAATGTGTAAATTAGAAATTGTAATAAAGCTGCAATTTTCACATGATTTCTCCCATTAACATTTAACAATATCCAAGATAAACCGTCACAATTATTGAATTTCAGTAACGGAGAAACATATCTCGTAGGAAAGGCTGTTTGCATTGTTCTTGCGTGAGTATTCCCAACAACGTCATAACTCATGCCACGCTTCGATACCTCATCTTTACCCCATGTCGTGCAGTTCCTTCTTTGATTAATCGACGCTATAGCTGCTGCGATGGCTATCAAAGTATGTATGCATTCTAAACCAAGAATAATGTACACATAAATATATACAGGGTGTTCGAAAGTACATTTTAGACGCTCGTTGATGGTAATAGCAGATTGTGTCGATGTCGAATCATCGCCAGTAGGAATCTGACACTCTTATGCAAGATTTCCCCACGTCAAAAACAAAACAAAAAAAAAAGGCACATCCCAGTATTCCTTACATCTCTGCATCCCATACATCCCTGAAACCCTTATATCCCTACATCCCTTACGTCTCTGCATACCTTACATTCCAACATCCCTTCCATTCCTGCAACCCTTATATCCCTACATCCCTTACGTCTCTACATACCTTACATTCCAACATCCCTTACATTCCTGCAACCTTTATATCCCTACATCCCTTACGTCTCTGCATACCTTACATTCCAACATCCCTTACATTCCTGCACCCGTTATACCCCTGGATCCCTTACACTCATGCATCAGTTATATCTTTAACGGGAAAGCTTGAACTAAATTTTTCCCGAAAAACAGCGCCCTCTAGCGGCGAAAAAAGGAACTAAAGAACGAATCAATTTTGCGCCCTCTGGAGGAGAAAATTTGAACTAAAATTTTCTCAAAAAACAGCGCCCCCTGGTGGCGAAAAGGGGAACTAAAGAACGAATTCATTTTGCGCCCCCTGGTGGAGAAAATTTGAACTAAAATTTTCTCGAAAAAACAGCGACCTCTGGTGGCGAAAAAAGGAACTAAAGAACGAATAATTTTTGCGCTCCCTGGTGGAGAAAATTTGAACTAAAATTTTCTTTGAAAAACAGCGCCCTCTGATGGCGAAAAAAGGAACTAAAGAACGAATAAATTTTGCGCCCCCTGGCGGAGAAAATACGAACTAAATTTTTCTCGAAAAAACAGCGCCCTCTAGTGGCGAAAAAAGGAACTAAATTTAGTACGATTTTTCGATTTCTGATGTAGGCACTTAAGAGATCCGGGGATCTAAGGGATGCAGGGATGTCAAGAAAGCAGGGATGTAAGGGATGCGGTGATTTAGGGGTAATTTTCGCGAGGTCTATGAAAGGGATGAAGAAAAATAAATACCTGTAAAGGGAGGACTTAATCCATAAAGAGGAATATGATATTAAATAACTGAGAAGGGTGGTCCCCGCGAGGAACCAGGAAGCGTGGCTTTGGCCCATAACGAAGAATAATATAATTAATAACTAAAAAGTGTGAGCTTTAGCCCATAAAGAGGGATAAAAGAATAAATAACTGGGAAAAATAAGGCGGGGCCCATAAGGAAGAGTATAATCAGAAATGAAAGGAATGGTCGGCCGAGGTCCAGGAGAGGGATGAAATAATAAATTTCTTTCCCCTTTGGTGAACTTATTTAATAAGCGAATAAAAAAGAAAATGGAAATTAAATAAACTCCTGAAGAATATTAGAAGTATACGTATGCTTGACAGGTAGATCTGCACCCCTCGGCGGTCGCTGTAAGACTGAGGAAGTGACCTCCTTCTAGATCAAACTTCTCATATTGAGAAGTAATTACTGTGTTTTGATTTAAGTTTGATTTTCATGTATATTATGTTTTTTGTTTATTAAAGATCAAACAGTCATTATTTTATGTTATAGAAATAAATAGCTGAGAAAAGAAGGTAAGTACATTAAATAAATAAAATGAGAAAATAACTCGAGTAAATTAAATAAATAACCGAGAAAAGATATTAAATAAATCAGAAATAAAATTGGATGAATGAAATAATAACTCATTTGCTTTTTAAAATGATTTATTTACCAAGGTGCATGAAGTGAATACAAATTTGTATAATAATAATTACAATTGTGTATAATAATAATTTCAATTGTGTATAATAATAATTTAATAAAGAATCAAAGGGAGTGAAAATTATGTTTCTACAGTCTGTACAGGCCGAGGTGCGATAAAAGAGGGACTGGTAAAACAGGTAAGTACGAATGTAATATCGGCTGTGCTCTCTGCATACAGGCCTAACTGGACGTGGGGATATCTGGGACCTCCAAAATCATCACCCCTTGAGAACAAAGGAACATGTCCAGACTTCTTGTATTTGTAATCGCTGCCAAACTGTACGAATATCGGGTAGTCCGATATTTTCAGGCTCACTTGGAAGGGTACACTTCTCGGGTACTCGTAATTTCAAGTACTCGCACACCCCTGGAATATGTACACGAGGAATCCAGAGGAAAAAAAAAATGATCATAGAAACAAAATTCTTTTATACTTACCCTTCCTTAAAAAGAATCTTAAATTTTTTTAAGGAATACTTAAGGAAACTTGATTTTCATTTTCAGCCATATAGAGTCGAGAAGAATAGAAGCCAGGGTTAAACAACTTGCATAAATAAGGCGATTCGGCTAAAGAGATAATTAGAATAATTGTAGGTAAAAAAGAAACGCATTCTGTATTAAGTCGCAATTAGCATTCCTTCCATGGAACACTGTCCTCGTTCCAGTATCACTTAGCTCATTGTGATGTTAATTAAATCTAGCTCGACGCCGGAAGTTTTTCAAGTGTTTCGCCAGTTTCCTTTTTCTCCAAAACGAGATCATTCGGTGCAACGTTCTTTAATAAGAGCGATTTTTTGCGTCGCTGAAGAAGAACATACGATGTTTAAAATCGTATCGTAACCAGGGAATGACCGATCATTACGTTAGTAAAGCGGGTTAATGGCAGATGAAATAAAAAAAATGAAAAGTGAGGGAAAATGGAAATAAAATTTAATTGAGGCCTCATCAACGTAAAGATTGATAGAGAGGTGATTCTTGAATTCGTTCTTCAATTTAAATTCAAGCCTTCGTGTGTATCAAACAAGAAAGTAAGGGGTTGCGACTTATTAGTTATTTATGATTCAAGTTGTCTCAATCGAGAAGCAATGATAGTTGACAATTATGCAAACGCATTTATTTGAAACATTTTTGTCGTTGTTCGTCAATGTATACTCGTGACTTTATAAATCAATAAGTGTTTGATTTCAACCATAAAAGAGAAGGGTTTGTAAGAAGATCTTGTGTCAAGGATTTGATACAAGCTTGTTATGTTGCAACGAAGATATGCCCATAAGTGTAAGGTTTTCAACATTTATTAGGCCTAAAAATTAAGTCCTTCTAAACTGACTTTGTACAATCAATAAGCACAGTCGTGCAAATACGAAATATCTTTCGATTCTTGTAATTTTTTGTGATTATGAAAATAGTATATTTGGAAAACCAATATTCGGTATTAAATAACTTTTACTTTAAATATTTATTTTTATCTTACGTATTTCTTAGCTTTCACTAAAACACTTTCTTTTTCTTAATTTGGAAATTATTTGCATGTTAGTTATTTTTAGAATGTACATCTTATTTATTTCAACAATTATGCGTTATTCTATACTAAATAAGAAACAAAGAGCCGTTTCTGAGATAGCATAGAAACCGGATGTATTCCTTATACGATCGTTTGAATTACACACTTTAGTTAGGAGGGTTTAATTGCTTGGAAGACAGCAGTGAAAGTATCAATTTACAGCCTACGGTAATAATGTTATCAAAAACTTTCGTTCTATACTAAAGTAATATAATCAAAAAAATAAATTAAATAACAACAATGACAATTTACATTTAATTTTATATTTTATATAATTTCCATTTTCTAAACTTCACAATATTCCTCTAAATAGTATTTTATTTCATTTAAAAATTAATACAATACCATTTTTCAACTTGTGATTTTGCTCTTTTTAAATTATAAATTAATCGTACATACCTTTACTGCAAAAGGACGATGCCCGGATGGGTAATGGACGATTCCACTTGGACTAGAATCTGTTTGAACTCCTTCTGCAACAGAAAAGGAAAGGTAGATTAGTATTATTATTAATAAATCTCAATAATCTTATATCACATATTTGTAACAATTACTCGGTTTTAAAATTATAGTGTCAAATTTAACACAAATTTATTTCAATATTTAATTTCATAAAATACATTTATGGAAATTATGCAATTAGTTATAAAATATATTTCAAAATAAAAATCAATGCAGTCGAGTTTCCAGTTAATTGATATTCACCAGGAAGAATTTGGTTCATCTTGAGGATATTTGCAGCGATGCCTTTCTCCTATTAAAGAAAAGCTATATCCATTGGTCACTGTATGGATCACGAGATTCTATTGGCAATAAAAGTCATGGGTCCTGATTTATACTTTCGTTCGTGGGAAAAGTGTTGGGAAAGTTGCACGTGACTTCTACTTCGGAAAAATTGTTCTCATGCCTGAATCTACTATAGATTTGAAGAGTAAAATGAATCTTCTCAGTTAAAATGAATTAAGGTCTTCCTTGAGGCTATTAAACTTTTGAGGACCTCCCTGATTACAAACTTGGTTCAAAAAAATGGAAGTTTAATCCAAATAAAATGAAATAATGTTATTTGATAGCAACTATAATCGTGTAAATCTGTCACGTTTCTCGTGCACTCATTCTTCGCTGAAGGCATTTTCATCGAACGGTTCATTCACCTCTGTTAATTATTGGATTGAGTTGTAACGTTATTAATATGACCGCAAGGGTTCCTCGTGTCTTGTTATAAAATTCTAGATCGACGACCAGTTATCAGATCAAATCGTGCTGTAAACCTTAAATGACCTCTCGATCTTTGTCGAAATGTAATTAGTTAAGTTTAATTAAAACAAACGCGGAATCACGGCAAATGACGCGGGTAATTAAGAATAGCTCCAACAGTTTTATGGTTTAATTAAAGGCGAGCTATATTTTTGTTGGTTTACAAGATGAGAATCCTTTCGATTTGCTTTCTCCTTCATTGAACCTATATTCAGTGATGAAAGGATTTCCGTATGTGATGATTGGCGGATGGATGTTCATACTGTTTATGTAATTAATCTATGGTCTTTTTTCATTTTTTACTATTTATATCGAGAAGAGATGAATTTCTGGACTTGGTATTGGCAATTTTATTTTTTTATTATATACAGTGCTGCTCCTAGCCCCTAGACGTTTTCTGGTCCCCCTGTTTTAATACTTTCAAAGTATCATAAAATTAATTAAATTTTAAATATAAAACACACGAGTTATGATATTAAAGTAGATTTTAAGATTATCGATTTCTAATGAAATATTCTCAATAATCTCGACTTTAGCCCCGAGCCTCGCAATCTTAAGGACAACTTCGATTATATACTCTAATTTTAAGAATAATTATATGCCACGACTTATATGTTTTAATGTACATATGTGGAATATGTGCTCTTTAGGAACTTATAGCTTCAATTTATAAGTTTCACCTTTCAAATGTATACACATGTTCTTACATAATGTTATAGCGTAAATGTAACATCTTTTAAAATGAAGTAGTTTACAGCCAATTACAGCGAATAATTGCATTGCGTGGTGTGGCATTCAAATGTGATCGCAGGATGTGAAACAGGTATTAAAAGCTTCCTGTTTAACCTTGCTACCCCCGTGGCTACACTCAATTAACCTTTCCTTAGGTTCCGCTGTGCGCAACTTTCTTAATTACAGAAAGAGATGGGAAAGGCCACATGTTATCACGCTTCATATTTTTTCGAACGAAAAATTTACCTTTCATCGTTGAAACAAATCAAAATTAATACCCGGAAAAGCATGAATATTTGCTTCACATTAAGTAAATAAGAATTGGTACGAGGCAATTTCTAGAACAGAAAAAGAAAAATATTTTTACCTAACAAATTTTCAAATTTTTCCAAATTTCACAATTTTCTATCCTACTAAATATTTTTAAAAATCACGGAAAAATCTCCTAAAGAAAATAGGAAAGAATAAACCAGGTTTCCCTGGAGAAAATGAACAAATGACAATATTAATATAAAAAGTGATTTAGAAACAAAATAATATGATTAATAAAATTTAGTATATAACTGAAAGGCATGACTAGATATAGTCTATCTGACTATATATCTAAAAATTCCAAACCCCTTTTTCTATCACCGTTTTCTAAAAACAAGCAAACTCTCGATCCTCGTAGATAAGTATAGCTCGTGACTAGTCTAGCATGCTTGACCGTGAGATGTTCCACGGTTTTCTCGTGATGAAGCACGCTGAGATCAGAACAAATCGATTAACAATAGATTGTTGAAAATCCTTCGATCATATTGGTCATGGTTCATAGGTGTGGGAACTGCTATGGAACTTCATGGTCTCTCGTCGTTTCTCAGAATGATGTCAAGAATTATGCATTTCACACGTACTTTCGCCACGTCAATTGGCAATGGGAATTTCATTTTTCAATTAAGAGTTAAAACAAATTAAACATGATCTAAACATGATTCTAAATGATCGATATTAGGGTGGTCAGTAACGTGCAAGATAATATTACGTCGAATCCCTTTATATCCAATTAAAGTTCGTTGCACGTCTATCCGGTGGGTGACCTCTGGTATCGATCGGTATTAGGGTTCGACCTTAATCGTGACAGGAAGTTTCGTGACCGATACAGATACGGATTCAAGCAGCAGATAGGCTGGTAGCGAGCTTGCTCGGGGCAGTGCACAGCGTGGGCGTCGAGAGTTCTTTCGCGTCATTCATGACTTGGAACAACGAGCTTCAAGGCTGGAAAAATCGCGAGTACTCGTAGTAAGCACTGATTATTCATCATCACGATCGGAATAACGTTCGCGTAATGTATTGCAGTTGTTCCTTCGCCTGCCTTTATAGGACGAGTGAAAGGTGGATGGATGTTCTCAGAACAGATGCGAGAAAAAGGGTTGAACTTAATTAGAAATTATATTTTGAATGGATATTACTTTTTCACCAACGAGAGTTCATTGTTTCTTTTAAATAAACTAAGAAAATTTGAGTTTTTAATATAATCCTTTTAGTTGTTTAAAATTTAAAATGTTTTCTGCATTTGAAATATCTTTATTGTAATTATAGCTTCTTTAGTTAGTATTCCTTTCGAAAAGCAATTTTAAATTAATTGAAATTGTTTTCTAATTAATTACTAGATTTTGATATATTCTATATTAGCACACCAGTTAATTTCAATAATCGTTAAAAAAGCAATTAGATAACGAAAATTACAAAATTGACGTCTAACAATAAGATTAGACGACTTATCTAAGTTTTGTACAGTATCGAGCATAATCGGTTTCCCTTGAAAAAATGGCGTCACAGATCTGATAGGTTAGAATACCCGACACGATCGCAACAAGAGAAATAAAACAGTTTAAGTCGATCAACTGGTCAATTGACGGGAACAAATCGTAAATAGCGAAACAACAAAGTGGTATTTGCTTTCCGTATTGTTCCCGTTCAATGCTAATCAGGTGTGGCTGGACAGTGAAACGTGCAAGCGCAGAGGGATCTACATAACCTCAACGGAAGTGGCTTTAAGCGCGCGCGAATTCAAAGCGGCAGAAATGGAAAAAAAGAGGAAACGTTCATTGTTCCAGTCGAGGGAGAAAGGAGGAGCGGTAATCGTTCGAGCGAGGAACGAAGAGAAAATCGCCAGAGAGTTAACAATACCTGACCACGCAACTGGCAATCACGTTTTACGATGCGTTTCCTCTCCTTTACGGCGGATATCGATGACGCGTGGGAAGGAAGAATAATTTTGAATTCGTCTTTTTTATTACCATCTATTAACTATCGCGTCGATCCGAAAATTGATTTATAAGAATTCGAAGTTAATAACTAATTATAGTAAAATTGAAGGAATTCAATTCTTTCCAAAGTGAAATGATGTCAGTAAAATGATTTCTTTCTTTCGTAAAATGATGTCAGATGGTCGAAAGGTGAGATCGAGTAAAAAGGGATAAAAAAACGAACGCGATGACCGTTTGTTCGATTCGTAAATGCTCTCTCGAACTTATAAGACTGGACTGACGACCTCTCACTCCTGTTTTAGCCCCAACTGGCGGAGAGGAGATCCGGTGACCCAGAACTTGGGAAAGCGAACGGCTCGAAAGGAGCGGCTGCTATAATACTCCTCTCGAGACGATCTTGCGCTCTAATTGTTAGTGGTGTCTGGAAGAAACTTTCATCTCCGACGGAGTTGGATACCTCCACCGTAATTTCCGGCTTTCCATCAACGTGGATCGTTCTGGTCGCGATCGCGGTGGATCGAAAGAAAGTAACAGTATGTAACAGGAAACCGTATAAACGTAACAATTGGAAGTTATGATCGATTTTTGACTTTCGAATTCGACAGGTCATATGATTTATATATGACATACCGTGTAAGAAAGTAAAAGTTTATGTGCAGAGATGTTCAAATTAAAAGATTCAACAACAGCGAGAAGTATTTCTTAACTTTGGGATCATGGTACATTGCTTTATCCTTTCTTTTCATTATAGACCAAAAATTTTAGAATTCAATGTAAAAAGATCAATAATATTCGTGGTATATTTTACATTTTCTTTTTATATAAAATATTATGTAAAATTTTATGTGATTACTATTTAATAATTTTATAAATAATGATCTTTAATAAAAAAATTTGCCAACTTCTTTCATCTACAACTTTTTATTACTATTACCTACTAACCAAATTCCTTGTTTATGATATTTTAAATTCTACAGAAGAAGTACATCAGAGAAATTGAGTCAGTGTTATATCAGAAAGTGGAGTTCAGCTTAATCTTTGAAAGATGTACATCTATGTATTACGAGTGGCCAGGAAGCACGGACTATACACGAAGGAGGAAGTTCCCGAGGAAAAGAGATTCGAAAGAGCTGTTGAACAACTTTCGCAAGGTGAACGTTATTAACATCAAATATGTAGGCCGTGATCGAGAGGCCTCGAAATCCTCTCGAGACGTGAACGTATTCCTGTACGCTTCA